CTCGGCTGCGAACCGTTCCAGTGCGAGCTGGAGGCCCTCACCCGATGAAGCCAACAGAACCACATCATCTGCAAAAATCAGAGATGAGATTCTGAGGCCACCAAAGCGAAAGCCCTCCGTCACTTGGCTGCGCCTAGAAATCCTGTCCATAAAAATTAAAATAAATGGCCTGTATTTATATAGCGCTTTTACTAGTCCCTAAGGACCCCAAAGCGCTTTACATATCCAGTCATCCACCCATTCACACACACATTCACACACTGGTGATGGCAAGCTACAGTGTAGCCACAGCCACCCTGGGGCGCACTGACAGAACCGGAAAATTACAAACAGAACCGGAGACAAAGGGCAGCCCTGGCGGAGCCCATCACCCACCGGGAACGAGTCCGACTTATTGCCGGCAATGCGAACCAAGCTCTTGCAACGGTTGTATAGGGATCGAATGGCCCGTAGCAATGGGCCAGACACCCCATATTCCCGCAACACCTCCCACAGGACACCCCGAGGGACACGGTCGAATGCCTTTTCCAAGTCCACAAAACACATGTAGACTGGTTGGGCAAACTCCCATGCACCCTCAAGTATCCTGGAGAGGATAAAGAGCTGGTCCAGTGTTCCGCGACCAGGACGAAAACCGCATTGTTCCTCCTGTATCTGAGGTTCGACTAACGGACGAACTCTCCTTTCCAGCACCCTGGCATAGACTTTCCCAGGGAGGCTGAGGAAGGGAGCCGGAGATCGACAGACGGATTGGGGCTGCAGCTGCAGTAATGCGGACGCTGCACCGGTCCGTCGTGGTGAAGAGGGAGCTGAGTGTAAAAGCGAAGCTCTCAATTTACCCGTCGATCTACGTCCCTACCCTCACCTATGGCCACGAGCTGTGGGTAGTGACCGAAAGAAGAGATCGCGGATACAAGCGGCAGAAATGAGCTTCCTCCGAAGGGTGGCTGGCCTCTCCCTTAGAGATAGGGTGAGAAGTTCGGCCATCCGGGAGGGGCTCAGAGTAGAGCAGCTGCTGCTCCACATCGAAAGGAGCCAGCTGAGGTGGTTCGGGCATCTGACAAGGATGCCCCCTGGGCGCCTCCTGGGTGAGGCGTTCCAGGCATGTCCCACCGGGAGGAGGCCCCGGGGCAGACCCAGGACACGCTGGAGAGATTATATCTCTCGGCTGGCCTGGGAACGCCTTGGTATTCCCCTAGATAAGCTGGAGGAGGTGGCTGGGGAGAGGGAGGTCTGGGCCTCTTTGCTTAGGCTGCTGCCCCCGCGACCCGGCCCCGGATAAAGCGGATGAAGATGGATGGATGGATGGAATAACAGTGCATGTTGAATTCAGAGGGACTTTGCATTTATCTATGTGGTTTTTATTCAGCCTGCAGATAAAACAATGTTTGAAATGAAGCCGACGCCTGCAGTTCATCCGACGTCCACTAGGGGCTCCAGCAGACTCCTATGTTAAACGTTGCAGCAGAAATAAACACGTTTCCAGCCTGATGCACAATCTGACGTGGTTTCTGGCGTGTACAGAGATGTAAACGTGATGGCAGAGCTTTTGCTTATTTACAGCAGATCTCTGGACTGTTTTCTTGGACTCGTTTAGCTCATCTGTAGCTCAGTATTTCTCCTCGAGCTTCCTTCACACAAACTAAAGGAAAGTTGCACAAACGTGAGCCTGACTCAAAGATCTGTTTAATCTGAGAGCAAAGCTGCTCTAAAGCAAACACATTGTGGCTGATGTGAGCCGTTCTGACTGCGGTTTGTTCTCATTGCTAACGCTGCTGAGGCCTCGCTCTGCAGTCTGAGCTGCGTTCAGGCGTCTCACCTGTCTCGCTGTTGCAGCAGGTGGAGGTCTCCCCTCAGGGGCTCGCTGATTAAATATTCTGGCTCGAGGCCCAAGAAGCTGTTTGACTTCCCCCTGCTGTTCATGCAACCTGCAGGCTGTGTTTGTGTGTTGTTAGCGAGCTAACTTTTCACTCTCGGGTCGTTCTGGTCGTGTGATTTCCCCCCTGTTATGTCCACACCTCCTTACAGGACTGTGGTCGTTAAACTTCCTGTTTTCATCGGCCCATGTGTGTCGGCGTCCTGCTGCGACACCTTTTCTTTGTGCTTTCTATGAACCCTCCCTCTTTTTCATGTGTCAGACACACACACTCCTCATTAAACACCTGCTGTCAGCTGCTGCAGCGGCGTGGAGCTGCTGTCAGGACTACCATGTGTCAAATAGAAGAAAAGGGTTTCCTTTAACACGGGGATCGAACACGCTCGCCTCCTGACTGTTAGCTCTGAGCTTAAACAGCTGCGCTGATCCTTTTCTGCAGCTTTAACTCCCTCGAGCACAGCCGGGCTGATGAACGCAGCAGGTGTCCGTCCACACAGGTGTTTCTGTTTGTGTCGCTGAGGTCCAACACTCTGCTGTTGATGAAGGAGCTCACGGTCCACTCAGTGACCCCGAGGTACCCAAACCATCATCCCTCCAGCGCCGCGCTCACAGCTGCTCTGAGGTCTTATGAGTTTGGTTTTGTGCTTCATGGACAGACTTTCAGCTCAGTCTGTTTCTAACTGTGCTGCTACGTTTAACCTTTGACTGGGGCCTGTGGAGTCTGAGATGGAGCTCCTGGGTTTTTACTCAGGCTGAATTTGCTGGGACGTCCACTCCTGGGACGACTGTGTCGCTGTTAACACACCTGAACGCTCCAGACCTGCAAACATCAGAAACCTCAGCTCTACAGATGTGCTCACACTGGTGATGATCAGCCAATTGGGTGCGTTTGATTGGCAGCACCGGGCTGAGACTTGGCCTCGTCATTCCTGTGGAGACAGACACCCGTGGAAAGACTTCCACGACTTTCTGTCACTCTGTCAGCTCACTCATGTCACTCTGAGGAGTATCTCTGCTTTCAGTGACATCGACAGGTTTTCGTGTCTTCTTTTGATCAGACTCGTCCGGCAACACTTAAAGTCCAGCCTGGTTTGAACTTGATATTTAACTCACTCTGGTCTTGACTTTGGTTTGTTTGCTGTGTTTAATTTGGGATATTCTGCTCACATGTTTGATGTGTCCTGACTTGTATCCTGGTCTACGTCCGCTCAGCCTTGCTGATTTTCACTGCACCCGTCTCTCTTCCTGTTAAAACAAAGTTTTTCCTTCTCACTGTCGCCAAAGTGCTCGGGGTCATATAATTGTTGAGTTTCATCTATATTATTGTACTGACGTCTAATATAAAGCACCTTGGGGTGACCGTTGTTGTAGTTTGGTGCTGCATAAATAAAGTGGACTATGACTCTGATCTTTCAGTGATGATGTGGGTTGCCTGGTTGGGTCTTGGCTCTTGGACTGTACTCTTCCCCGTTAATCCAATGCTAGTTTTCTTGGCCTGCTGTTAGTCAGCTGGTCCAGATCTTCATCTCTGACCCGGCATGTTCATAGAGATCAGCAGCTGTAAAAGTGACAACAGGATTGAACATCTGGATAAAGACGGGCTGTATCTGCAGGCTGGCGATGAGGCTTCTTCGCAGAGTTTAGCTGATATTTCTCCTGCAGCTCGAGTCTATTCCTGTCTTTGGACCACAACAGTAGTCGCCTGCAGTTGGCTTAACATATTTATCAGTGTTACAGCCGGCTGTCAATAAAACTGCCTCCGTCTGTGTGAGATGTGCTGTTAGTGCCAAAATAAAACCGAGTTTCTGTCAAATGAAACACTGCATTTAATTTCAGGTCAGAGGATTATTGAACAAACTGCTGCAGCACTTTGAGACATCCTTACTCGAGTCATCCAGAGACAGCTGAGGATGTTTTAAATAGCATAGGTTGGGGAAACAAAGTGTATAATTACAGTGCAGTTATTCAGAAAGGAGGAAAAGCTGGGCGAGTATAATAAGACCAAACAGAAGGAAGAGTCAAAGTCTTTTTTCCTCGTGGATTTTATTTTGTAATGAAATGCAGCTAACAGGGTGTGACTGACCGTCTGTCTCTGTGTTCACCCTGCGGCACATGGGTAACCTGTCCAGGTGTGCGCCGCCGCTCACAGCTATGAGTGCTGGGACAGGCTCCACTGCTCACTGCCATTATTTTACCTGATGTAACCTGAAGCTCGTCACATTCAGTTCTTAGAAAGCAGCGCCGTGTGATGAGGTATCTCTGATAGATCGCAGGTACAATTCACTACAAAGAACCCTTAAAATGATCGTGTCTTCAGGGCCGTGACTGTCAGAGATTCTCCTCAAAATATGACGACAATTTCTCCTTTCATTGCCAGGAAGAAAAATCTGGGATAATTAGTCATGAACCGCCTAAAATCTGAGGCTCCCTTCAAATTCTTTTCATCTCCTGGTGGCTCAATTAAGTCCTGTGACAGCAGCAACACCTTTCCCGTGACTAATTTGTCAAACGCCTCGTGCTATTTCCTTTGAAATCTGACATCAAACGCACTCAAGTGTTCCTCAGGTGTTCATCACAACAGATCCATTCAGCTTTTATTCAGTTTTTCTGTGAGTCACTTCAAACAAATGAGTCCAAACGGATATCCAGACCCGGCTTCATGAATGTCTTCTTAAGGACACGTAAAGAAAGTCAGGTCAGATGTTTGCGTGTCAGTCAGTGTTCAAAATGCTCGCTCAGGTTTAGGAAACTGTTGGGTTAAACACTTATTCTGGGTCTGTAACTAACTGGGTTAACGAACCAAAGCAGGGACAATAAACCAGACTACTAATCCAAACTAACCCAAATTTAAACTCAACTAAACCAACTTAAACTTAAACTCATCTGAAACCAACTTAATAATATAACTGTAACCAAAGTAAACTCAATTAAACCCACATAAAGTTAAACCAATAAATCAAAGTGAATTATTATTAATCTAAATCTAATTCGTCTGTATTTGGACCAATCTAGTTTAAACTAAAAAAAACACAATAAACGAAACAATCTGAATTTAAATGCTGTTAATGTGCTGAGATCAAAGCTCTCAGTGAGTAAACATGTTTGTTTGTTTGTTTGTCTTCAGACTCTATGACGGTTCGGAGAGGAAAGAAGCTCAGCATCTCCATCCAGGAACACATGGCCATAGACGTTTGCCCCGGCCCCATCAGACCCATCCGCCAGATCTCCGCCTACTTCCCCCGCCTGTCCCCCACCTCCCCCACCCCCGTCTCCCCCAACCCCGCCGTGTCCCCGCCGCCGTCCCTCAGCCCCGGCTCGGTGGCCTCGGGAATGGGCGGGTCTCACCTCCTGTCTCCTCTGTTGGCCCAGGGCAGGCCCGGCGGGGGCGGGTCCCTATCCCTGACCAGCAGCGTGGACACGTCGGTGGAGATCAACAGCTCCGACAGCGACGACTGCAGTGAGCCTCGCTGTCGGCATGTGTCTGTGTGCGTGTGTCACCCTGCATCTGTACACATCTGTTTAACGTCACCCTGAGGCTGCTTCCTGCACGGCGCTCCGTCTCAAGTCTGTTTTCATACATTTCATGAGGCTCAAAAATATCGTGACTCGCCACTGTCACGGTCCCAGTGATGCTTTTGAGGTTTGGATTTGTTTTTGCTTCTCGGTTATCCACCGTTAGGCCTGTAACACAGCACAGAGGACCATCACAGCTGTCAGTCTACAGTTACCCTTCATTCATTTATATTTTGCAGGAAAATGCTTCAAAATTGTATTCAAACATGCAAACACAACACTATAGAGAACAAAAGCCTGCAATGAGTTTGAAAGTGAATGCGTGTTGTGAGCAGCTTCATCCTCCAGCTCAGGCTCTGTCGGCTCGGTGAGGATCTCCAGATGTATCTCCAGGCTTCCTGGAGGACATCCAAAGCTCTTTTTGTATGTTTCTGCCTTTGCGCTGCTCCCTGTCAGGATGATCCCACTCATTGTTGCCCCTGTTGTTATTTTAATGAACACCAAAGCAGCTGAAACTCACGAACAACCCCTCTGCTACATACCTGACCAGATCAACACCCCTGCGTGGATGCACAGTAGTGCAGATAAAGCAGGGCTGAGAAACCTCTGCGTGACATCACAGCATGTTTTGGTTCTGTCAGATGGACTGAAATATTTTCTCCACGTCTCTTAAATCTCTTAATTCTCTCTCTGAAGAACAAATCTGGGGCTGAATTATTTCTCGTCTTTTTTAGTGAATCATGTTGTTTACTGGAGGCTGAAAGCCGGCTTAGGCTGGAACGAAAACAAATATTTTCATTGTGAATTTCCTTCAGACAACAGTGCTCAAGTCTCCTTTGGCTAACGTGCCGTAATCACCTTTTATGGAGATGTCGATGTGAGTTTGGGATGAAAGGTCACAGAGTCTGCAGAAGCACCACGAAGGTCGCTCGGAGTAACTGAGGGACCTAAAAACGCTGCAGCAGCTCCAGTCTGATCGTTTCATGGATTTAACCAGCAGCAACCCTAACAGCCGTTCCTCCGCCACTGCACCGTGGATGCATAATTCATGTGTTTGCAGCTCACACATACGTAACCGACACATTGACGCGTACGCCTCTCGTGCTGAAGCTCGGCCAGACTGCAGATGCTGAGCGTTTTTGGGGAGGCAGGTAAATGACGCGGCCGAAACACGTCAACTTCAGAGATGGCTGAAATGTGACGGCACCGGCTCGTCTGGAGGAGCAGAAGGAGCGCGAGTGCGCCGATCGTCTCCTTCATCCTCTCCTTCATCCTCTCCTTCGTCCTCTCCTTCATCCTCTCCTTCATCCTCTCCTTCATCCTCTCCTTCATCGCCGCTTCAGTTACAACACGAGAATAAATTGTGATAAATGAGTCAGGCTGAATGCTCTCAGAGCTGCTGACATGTTTTCAAGCTCCGCTGTGATTCAGAAAGCAAAGACTAATTAGAGGTTTTTACCATTTTTATCCCCTCATTAACATATATTTGTTTTGCAGTCACCACTTGATGATTTTTTTGTGCTTTTTAATAACGAGGCGTCAGATTCATCAGAGCGGGGAAAGCCTGAGGGAGGAGCGGAGCGCCAAAGTTTGACAGGCCGTCTCCTCGAACAGAAACTCCAGGCTTTGATCAAACATAAAAGGAACTCTGGCTAACAAAGAACGCCTTCACAGGGGCGCTCCTTTGTGCACGCGTGATCCCTGCAGCCTCGGGCTTCGCTGCTGCAGAGCGATGATTCCTGCGCAGGACGGTCACAGGGCGTTTTGAGGTTTTGCTGACATGTTCCAGCCGTCGCTGCCTCGGGCTGCTGTAAGTCAATGTAGGTGGGTGGAAGCAGGAGTCTTTTTTATTTTTACTCAGTGTTCAGGACTGCAGTGGATTAAGCAGAGAGAGGACGACTATAGGATGGACTCAGAAAAGTGCATCCAACAGTCAGAAGCACTGATTTAAGTTTCTGAGGACGACATCTGATGTTTTACTTACAGAAAAAAAGGCCAAAAGACTCGAAATACAGAAACTGAAGTCTGCTTCTGCCTCGAGATACTAAAAGACACACAGACTTAAAATACAGCATCATACTGCCTTTGTGGGACAGTTAGTTATCTTACACGATACAGAGTCGGGGCCACGAGATGCAAAGCTACCTGGATGTGACAGCGATCATGTCTTTGGGATGCAGAGTGAGCTATCAGATACAAACAGGACCTTATGAGATATAAAGTCATCATTAGCTGTTCTGTAAATGTGTCTCATAGTGTTGAGATGCTGAGTTTTACTCTTATACAGGACAGACGCTGAGACTAAATCAACAGGCTTCCATGTCTGTGTCTCACGCTGGATGGCAGTTGGTTTTCCCGCCTTTTTCTGTACCAACTGTGTGCAGTTAGCTAAGCTAATCCGGTTGTTCAGTCTGACGTCACTAACCGTGTCTGGGTCTAAACTCTGCTGCAGGTCCATATATCAAACGATCACTATGGCATTACTGAGAGTTGAAAAAACTGTCTAAAGTCTTTCATCTTTAATAAAATGATCAGCGTTCTGCTCTACCAGGTGTAACAATTGAGTTTAACATCCAGGCATCCATGAAAACGGAATTTA